TTGCTGTAGGTGTTTACACAGCCCGAGTACTGGAGGATTGGCTTCGCTATTAAGTTCCTTGGGGTTTGGTGTTTTGTGTGGCAACCTTTATTTAAACATAGGGGACAGAAGAGACTTGTTTATTTGTTTGTTTGGGGTTTTCTTTCTTTTTCAATGACTTTTAAAGGGCTGAAGAGTTTATTGTGTGTGAAATGCAGGAAGAGTCAAAATGAACACCAGATGAGAGGAAATAGACTGAGGAAAATTAGGGCTATTTGCTACCAAAGGAAGTAATCATTGTACATATATTAAATTCCAATCTATCTTGCATAACAAAACCCACTCTCAGTTAGAGATTTCTACATTTCCACCATAGAGTAAAAAGGGAAATATGTGGAATCTTCCCAAGTTTGGACTTTGAAAGTGGTAAGCTGAGGTTTGGTGTACTGGTGGTAGATAAGGCAGGAGGCAACTTTTACTGAAGCAAGCGGTGGGCTTGGCTGGAGAGTCTCCTGCGCCCTGTCACAAGTTCATTCTGTGGCTCTGTGCAGAAGGGTGAGACAGTTTTTCATATGTAGGCAACATTTAGCATGACTTTATGATGAGAATGTAAATTCCTTAACAGCTTTCATCTGCCACATTCTCAGCTCATCCATCCTTAGAGACACCTGGCTCCCCTTTACTTATCATTCACCTGGAAGTCATTGCTGGAACTGCTCCTTTAGGATCCACTGGCCATCTGCAGTGGAGAGCACCGTCACCTAATTGTCCCCTTGGTTGTCTGTGTAGGGTGAGGGTTTAAGTGATGGCAGTAGGGTGCTGACTGCTCCGCTGCTTCTTTCCTGGGTCCCTGCAGACTGAGGGTGGGGTGGGTGCACGTTTTCATTTTGCTGGGGGGAGGCAAAATCACTAGTTGTTTTAGTACTAAACTATTTACAGTGAGAGCCAGTATGGGCTGAGTAAGGACCCTCACAAATGGTTCGGGGAGTGCGTAATGCATGGGCTTGGCTTACAAAGATGCCATAAATCAGCCACAAATTTGACATTGCTACTTGTTTTAAACAAAACAGAGCGTTTCTCATTCCTGCAAGCTGGCAGACACCCTGTTCAGCTCAGTTAATTCAGCAAGGACATAGAAAGATTTTTTTTATTATTTCTTCTTTAGCTGTAGAAAAATTGTAGCCTGGGGGCATGTTGCTTTGACAGATTGGGGTTATGTGGTTGAGGCTGACCTGTGCAGCTTCCTTCCCCTTCCCCCTCCTGGCAGGAGGGATGAAGCATGTATGGCTACCCTTATTTTGCTCTTTATCTGATGGAAGGCCACCACAGTAGGCAAGAAGGACTTGTCACAGATTTTGCTTTTCCTGTGAGGGACGCTCGAAAGCTCAGTGAAGAACCTGTAGAAACAAAAGATAAGATATTTTGGCTGTGTGGGAGGGAAGCATTTAATCACAATGAAGAATAGGGGACTGCACAGTCAAATAAGCAGATTTGGAAGATCTTAGAGACCAGCAGTGGGAAGGAAGAAGGGTGTATCAAATAGGAGAGTAGGAAAGCATAAATGGAAATGAACTGAAGAGAGATAATAGCATCATATTTAGAATCTGTCACTTTATCAGAATTATGTTGACTGGTTATTAGCAAAAGAGAAGGAATTGGTTTTTTAGAGGAAGAAGAGTTTCATTTTCCCTTCATTAGCCAAGGAACCTGCTGACAGGAATTAAGGCAGAATATTACTAAATGGGGGCTTCAGCCACTCCCTCCTGTCTGCCAGAAGGGGTTATTTTTAACCCAGATCTGCTCAGTGACTGCATTTGCCGCATGGCCCTGCAAAAAAAAACCCTCTGCTGGCAAAACTAAGGCTGCATTGTGCTGCTATGGGAGAATGGGACGGGGAGGTCGGGGTGGGAATCCTGTAGGGCAGCAGTGCCCCTGACGCCTGTGTCATGAAAATATGCCACAAGTTAACTATTGTCCTCTGACCTCAATCCATGCTGAAACAGGGGCTTTGCATAATCATTGAAGGAGACGGGTCCTGCTCCAAAAGATGTTATGTTTTGAATTGCCAAAATAGACAAAGAAGACATTGTCAGCCCTTCACACATGGGAAACAGAGGCAGAGAGAGAGATTTGTCTGGGGCACATAGGCTAATTTTGACAGAAGGGGTACTTAGACTCAAGTTTCCTGAATCCATTTGTGTACTACAACCACAAGATTGGCCTTCCTTTGTAATACTGTTGTATTTTTTTTTCCCTGAAAGTTCAGTTCTAATAGAGGGTTGTTTATCAAAAACATTATTTCATTTTGCTCTGTTTAATAAATATGCTAGTGATTCTCTCCCCAGACAAAACTGTGCTTGCATGCAGACCCGAGCCGCACTGCTGAAGTTGCAAATGCCCAGGGAACTTCAGATGGTTTTTCACATTGGGACTGCCATGGGCAGCAATGCAAGGGAAGGCGGAGACGTGACTTTGTTTTTTCTTTGTCCTCCTGGGGATCACAACCCCATGGTTTTGTAGAAGGCAAGCCTGCAAGATTAGTAATGCTGTTCTGCCCAGCTTCACGTGGGAAGAAAAAGAAATATCTCACTAACTAGAATGTCCATTTTTCTTGCTCAAGCTTGTTAACTCCAGGAAGGCCAGTGAGACTTGGCATTGCATGACCCAACTGTGGCTGTTTGGGTTCTTTATGAGGCAGTATTGAGTGGAACCATCTGGGCTAGGAGAAGACCACACTTCTGAAATGAGCCTTTAGGAATACTTAAGTTAAGTAGCTGTCTGGGGCACCATGCTGAAAGGAAGGGCGCTCACAGCTGCATGTATTTTATGGGTTTATTTTATCTCTGATGACAAAAGAGAACTTACTAGTCATGTGGTTCCTCATAAATCTCAAGCCACTGCTGACAAGTGGCACTGCCTGTGTTCTCAGCCACGCTGGCGCAGAGTTCCCCCGATCTTTCTGGCTCGCAGTGTAATAACGATGCTGCTAATGGATGATGCTTTAGAGAGGTATCTAACTTTCCTCTGAACCTACAGGCAGTCCTGAAGTTACAGTGTGATAATGGAAACTTTGGTATCTTAAATACCATGGGTGAATACTTCATGGTCATTCATCTGATGTCCGAGTGGCTCATCTCTGGTTCCTGAGGCCCCAGTCTCCCTAAAGCTGTGCTGCTCACTCTCCTCAGAGCTGGGGGAATCTGTGCTTCGGAAACTAATATCCTCCCAGAAAGCCAACTACAGGTTTGGGAGCATAACTTTCTGAATGTCAGTGGTGCATCTCGACTTAGGAAGTTTAAACTATCTTGCAATGTAGTCTATTTGGTTTTGGAGGGGTTTTTAAAATTTATGCCCCACTGGGGCAGCTTCCTAAAATACCTCCAGGGGCCTGGTTCCACTGTCTGTAATTCCAGTTTCCAAAGATACATCTTACTTCTGTGCTAGGAGCCAAGCTCCCCTCCTTCAAGCACTTCTCTGTGACAGACCTGGAAAGGGGCACATCAGATTCAGTACAATTCAAAAAATGTAACCTATTTTCTATTCACTGAGATGAATCTGAGAGAGAGATTGCTCATGGTAAAATATTTATCAGTGGATCACCTCACCTAAGGTAATAGCTCTCATAGTGCAGGTGTGAAGAAAGAAATACTTGCTCCTTAACCTTTTCTCAATCCATGTCCTGTTCAAGCTGTCTCTGTTTCAATGGACCCTAGAAGCTTTGTGTGATGTTTATTAATCTGATTCCTAACAGACTCCTGAACAGAGAGAGCAAGAAGACAAACTGGATGCAGGCTTACAGGAATCAGATTCATGCCAGCTCTGCCAAAGGCACTCATTTGACTATGCACATCATTTAATATTTGTGGTTCCCCTGCCTACAAAATGATAATTTTTCTTCCCCCCCCCCACTCCAATCCATACTTGTATAGATTGCAGGTTTGGGCAGGAATCAGCTCCTCCTGTGTCTCTGGATACCTCACAAATGAGTCCCTGATTTTAGGTGAAACTTCTGGTCGCTTCTGTAAGCCACGTAATAATAATTGGTTTCAACCTGCTTCAGGAAAAAAATGCAACCTTTGGATTACATTGGTGTAAATAAAAAGTCCACAAGTCAAAAAATGCTGGTAGTGTTTAGCATCAGTGTCTGTCGCTTGAACATCTGGCACTCATCATTGCTTTCCTGTTCCTTCCACTGTCATATTTTATCCCCATCTGTTAGAGGTTTCTTAGCACTGTCTGTATAAAGCATAGCTGCATCTCAGTTGGATCATTACAGGCTGCAATGTAAATGAAGGAAAAAGAGGTAAATGCAAGGCAAGTGTTTCTTTTATGCATTCTGCTCCCCTTCCTTCTCCCCTCTCCCTGTACACAGACTGTACTAGGCGGTGTTACTAGGCAGCGTGATACCCTTGCTGCGCAGAGAGATGGAAAAGTTTCCAAAACCAGCAAATGTTTTCACCAGCCCACGTTCTGAAGGCAGAAAGCAGGAGAGGAGTTGGAACCGGAGTGGACACCCATTGCCATTGTTGGAAAGACCAGAATTTACTGCTTTGAAACAACCCTTCAGCAAGTTAGGAACAGATTGGGAAAGCAAACGTTCCTTGAAGTCAGACTTCCTGGGCTATGTCTTTGGTGTATTTTCTTAAAATTAAATTACTCTCACTGCAGTAATTCAGGTTACTGCTAGGAATAATAACATTGAAGGTGCTAGAAAAGTATGGGTGTGTTATATTAGCAAAGCAGAATTTTTTTACTTCTTTTTTTTCCCCCTCAGAAACCTTTGCAGTGCCCCCACAATGGCCATCATGTCCGGCTCTTCCAAGCTGTGCTGGTGGGGCAGTGAGCCATAGCAGCATTCCACAGGTGCGCTTCCGGTGGTGAGATGAATCCACCGCCACCCTTGTAGGAAACATTCCTGGCAGCACGTGTGCGTTATCCCCGTGTGTGCACAGTGTCGCCCAGCCCCATGCACTGGGACCACGTGGCGGGGGGTAATTCCCTGCCAGCTTTCACAGCTAGAGAAGGTATTTCCTTGTTCTAGAAAGACTCAGAGACACCGTAGTCCCACCCTACTGGAAGTTTGGGGGGAAAAGGCCCGTTTCCCTCTGGCTGGTGAGGGCCGTTGCAGGCTGCCATCACTATCAATCCCAGAACTTTCTCCAGGCTCAAGGTGGGCTGAAGCGGGAGGGTTTCTCTGCAAGACAGCTGTCACGTTTTCAGTTCAAGGCACTGCTTGTATCGTTGGGGGCTTTATTACACTTGGAACAGCAAGAATGCCCCATGTCACTAGCTGTGCTCCTCCTGATGGTCTTGCCTTTTCCACCTTCTTAGTCTCATAAGTCAAAAGCGTGTCTTGAGTTTGTTTGAACTGGTAGCGGATCAGCTGAAATGAGACTAAACTATTGCTGCTATTGCTGGTTGTCAGCTCATGCCTTCTCTTTCTACAAAGCATATTGCACTCCTGATTTCCCGTTATTTTTCACTTACGTTCCTGTGGCGTTATCCTGCTACTCACTGCAGACTCCCAGATTTCAGCTGGGCAGCCAGATCAATCAAGCAGTAGGTGTCCTGGTCAGCATCTGCGTGAAGTGAAAACGATAGGCCTGGCTCATAAACGGAGCAGTTGCTGGGCTGTCCTGCAGAGCAAGTCCTGGCTCATTCCGAGGGCGCACGGTCGTGTGAAAGGCCAGGCAGTCCCTGAAGTCACAGTTGCTCTCTGAAGTTGATAGATCAGTTGAATGCTGATGATTTGTTCTGACAGTGCAGTCTATTGCTGGAAATGGATGTCCCGGTGAAAGCGTTACTCCTTGGCAAGACTGAAATGGTGGGCAGTGAGAAACATGGGTGTAGTGTTGCAAAACTACTTCACATGAGATATTGCAAGAAGAAAATAATCCAGGAGTACAGTGGAATGGATGCTGTGATGTTTATTTACTCTTGTCTTTTTGGTATCTGCACTAGATCTCGGCTTACCAAGCATCTTTCTTGTTACCAGCAGAATGTTTATTTTATTTTCTCTTCTTCTTGTAGAAAATTTTACTACATCACACTGCTGAGAGACCCCGTATCTCGTTACCTCAGCGAATGGCGTCACGTCCAACGCGGAGCTACTTGGAAGACCTCCTTGCACATGTGTGATGGCCGGACACCAACTCCTGAAGAGCTGCCGTCGTGCTATGAAGGCACGGACTGGTCCGGCTGTACGCTGCAGGAGTTCATGGATTGCCCGTATAATTTGGCCAACAACCGCCAAGTGAGGATGTTGGCTGACTTGAGCTTAGTGGGCTGCTACAACATGTCTTTCATCCCAGAGAACAAGCGGGCACAGATCCTGCTGGAGAGCGCAAAAAAGAACCTCAAAGACATGGCCTTCTTCGGCCTGACAGAGTTCCAGAGAAAGACTCAGTACCTGTTTGAGAGAACTTTCAACCTGAAATTCATCCGGCCCTTTATGCAGTACAACAGCACCAGGGCGGGAGGGGTGGAGGTGGATAACGACACCATCCGCAGGATTGAGGAGCTCAATGACTTGGACATGCAGCTCTATGACTATGCAAAGGACCTCTTCCAACAGCGCTACCAGTACAAGCGGCAGCTAGAGAGGATGGAGCAGAGGATAAAGAATCGGGAAGAGAGGCTTCTTCACCGGTCCAATGAAGCGCTTCCCAAGGAAGAGACCGAGGAGCAAGGACGCTTGCCCACTGAGGACTACATGAGCCATATTATAGAGAAGTGGTAGACTAGGCAGACTTTTATATTAACAATATTGTAGGGTTTCCTGATAAAAGATCATGGAAGTAAAATTACAAAACCAACAGAAAGTATTTTATTTAAAAGCAAGTCTGTAAAACAGAAGATTGGTTGCTTCCTTAAGCCTGTGGTCTTTTTACTGTTTCTTACAAGACCGATGAGATTCTTAAAAAAAAAAAGAAAATAAATACATAAAAATAAAAAAGGGTCTTATAATGCAGAGGTAAAAAAATGCACAAATGCAGTTGCCCGCTTTTAAGGCCAAATACAGAATAATGTTTCTTATCCTCATGATTCAAACACAAATGGCAGAAGTAGGATTTTAAAAATCTGTTTATCCCCTGAGCGTATTGATATAAAGATACATCATTAAAAGCCAAGGAAACGGAGGTTTTCTTTTGTGGATGTTTTTGGAGGTGGGCTGGGAATTGCACTGTCTGTAAGTAAATGATAACGGTGACTAAGTTGAGGATGTGCTATCCTGTCGGGCTGTGACCTGAGCACGAGGGTGGTCGCTTCGTCTCAGCTGGCAGCCACATGGAAATAAAAGAAGAAGAAAAACATCAGAGGATGAGAAACATTAAGGCAAATGGACTGTGGCCTAGGATATCTACTTAGCACAGTGGTTTTGATACATTGCACTGGTGTCACATACACGTACGCAACTTCATCACAAAAAATAGGGAATTCATGCACAGAGCTCCCAGGTTTGTGTCACAGGCAGGTCCCAAAACAAGTTAAAAGCCAACCAAATTCCACATAAGCTCGAATGTGCACTCACATGCCATCCTGTCACCATACACAACTGCCACTCATGCCTCCATCAGTATTATGTGTTAACAGCACATGAAAACCCCATCCCACATACTAAAAAAAAAGGAAGAATTTAAATAGCAATACTCCCTCATAAATCAGCACAGGTTCCAAGGAAGACCCTGCAAATAATCAGTCATTAATGGGAACACATGAGGGGGTATGAATTTGCTTTGTTTGTTGTTACGTGAAATACTGAACTAGAACAAGCATACAGACGTACCCGTATCTGTATTTTTTCAGTTATTTTTACTTGCTTTTATCAAGAGATAATGGGCATCAGCCTGCTTCCAGTGAAGTCACTAGAACTGATTTAAGTGGGAACAGGATGGAGCTCTTTTCCAGAGCTGTGAAAATTTCTGACTGTGGGTCTGAATTAATTATGAGACAGTGCACATTGTCTTTTGGCAGAGTGCCTGTTCTGCAGCTCTTACTTTAAATGAACAAGCTGTGTTCATAAAACTGGAAAGGGGAATCATGGATAATGTTTTTTTAGTCTCAGACCACTTTCAAAGCAGAACTCTTTCTCTTTCAATGCTGTTTTTTAGGGACTCTTGTAGGTTTAATCCTCCAGTGTGGTGACAGTCTAACCAGGTTTTGCTTACTGACTTTTGAGTCACAGAACAACAATGGCTTCTCTAATTCCTCTTCCCACTCACCAAATTAAAGTATGGCTTACTTTCTTGCTGTTGCAAGCACTTCTTTGTTTGGCTGGAAGCATGGAAATGGAGCAGTTTTTGCCTGTTTCATGTCTCACCCCGTTATTACTCAGCCAGTAAGACCTGAACCCGCTATTGTTTAGGGTAAACTATGAACCAACTAGAATATGATTGGATTTTCAAAGGCCGTGTTAACTGCAGATCAAATACGGCGCTGAAATCACTGGAGGAGAGACAGAGAGCTGATGCATACGACTTCAGTGTGTCCTTTTTATGGTGTCCTTTTCTCATCACACGAATCCACTGAAGTGCTGCTTGTTTTGTACTTAATTCTCTTGCTGCCTCTGTACACTGTTTCCAGCAGTTTCAAACTCAGACTGAGTTTTGCAGAGGAGGGGCTGCCTTGTTTCCTCTGCATACACCCTGCAGATACACCTTGCTTTTGGAGGTGTTCTTCTCCAGAAGAGTGAAGATGACTGAAAACTTAAGAACAGACAATACAAACAGCGCTTTGGGCTCAAATACAACCCTGTTGCAGCCCTGATCCCAAGTCCACCAAAGTCGAAGGGTGTCTTTCCTATTGATTAGGGCCTGTAGTGACAGGACAAGGGGTAACGGGTTTAAATTGAAAGTGGGGAGGTTTAGATTGGATATCAGGAAGAAGTTCTTCATGGAGAGGGTGGTGTAGCACTGGAACAGGTTGCCCAGAGAAGCTGTGGATGCCCCATCCCTGGAAGTGTTCAAGGCCAGGCTGGACAAGGCTTGGACCAACATGGTCTAGTGGAAGGTGTCCCTGCCCATGGCAGGGGGGTTGGAACTGGATGGTCTTTAAGGTCCCTTCCAACCCAAACCATGCTGTGTTTCTGTGATTTCAGATGGATTTTGATCGGGTCTGCATCCCGGTGCTGCAAAGTCCACAAGCATGTGCCCATCCATCTACGAGCACAGCGGGATGTTGTTACCCCTGCGTTCGGCTGGTACCGGTGTTTCTAGTGCTGCCGCTGTCTTTAAGGTTCTGTCCGTGCTTCTGCCACACAATGGCCCCTGTTCCCAGAGATGTGTAGCCTGGCCATAAGCATTTCCTCCTAGCTGAAAAGTGGGAAGCAAAATAAAGCAATTTTCAGTTGTTGGCTTGGGGGCAGAAGGTATTACAAATCCGTTTGCTCATCTCTGAATTCCAAGACTGGGAGGAGCTATGTCTGCTAGTTCCCAGCGCTTTTATGTGTTGCTGTAACTAAAGAAAACATTTATATTTTAAAAATGCGATTTTACAGGCTGTTTACCCACAAACCCAATACACAAGATATAAAAAGCAACTGTTTTATATGCATAGTTTCCAGCTTTCCCCAAAGGCTTTTCACTGTGCATCCCGCGTTACGGATCCGTAATGCACAAATGGTTACTGCAGCGAATCCATGTTCGAGGTGGCATCGGCGCAGGGCCGTGCGGTGAATGCCCGGGCGGGTCTGCGTACGCCGAGAGCTGAGTTCTGCCCTCACCTACCAAAGGGTGACAGTAAACAGGACGGTGTATGATTAGGACCCGTAGTACTACTTGGTGCGATTTGCCGGAGTTGTTTCTGTGTTCCGGGCTCTGAGCTGGATTGTAATGGATCTGTGCGCGGGGTTCTCGGAATCGGAGGCAGCCCCTGACCCTAGAAGCATGTCGGTAGAAGACCTTGTTACATTTTCTTTGTAATATATTACAGTAACAAGCAAAAACAATGAAACTGTCTTGAAAACTGTCTTGCTAACAGTTTCACTTCAACCCACAAAAGGAGGGCTGACCTCAGCTGAGCACTGAGGCAGAAATTTCGAGATTCAAATCCCGCGCCCAGCAAATGCCTCAGTTTCTCCACCGGCACGTTGGGAATAACAAATTTATGCACTGTAAAAAGAGGTACTCCAGGGTATGAGAACTACAGGGCACTTTGAAACAGATTCCAAGTATAGGGAATGAAGAGAATGACCCAAAAGCCACCCCTCGCCCTGGCTGCGGTGCTGGTCTGTTCAGGGCTGTGGGCCATGCTTTAATTTATTGTGGGTGCTGCGTGCCACAGCATGAGCTGCAGGACGTACCTGGCACTGTTTCTTCCTGTTGTGGGTTTAAGGGAACTTTTTAAACATCATGTGAATGTAGTTTTTGTGATTTATATGTACTACAGTTTGAAGTGGTACAATTCCTTTTGTTTTAGGACTGATTATTTGATGCTACAATAACATGAAAAATGTATGTGTAGTTTTAAAACTGATGGAGAGCAATGGCTTTAAGGCACTCCAGCAGAAGTAGTGGCCAGATAGCCCATTCTTGTTCAGTATCTGCCCCTTTCTTCCAAGGTTTTTTTCCTGTGAGTGTCAGGCCTTCTTCACTACATGGAGTGTTCCTTCAGGGGACCCGTCAGTGCATGACAACGAAGGTCAGGATAGGTGAGAGTGCTGGGTGCAGGGAGGGCAGGTGCAAGGTTGTGGCCTCTCTCTTACTGGAGCTGGTGAGACCGTTCCCCTTGAATTCAGATTTTACCTGACTGGATGCTTGTCCCTCTCCCAGTGTTTCTGCCGTGGTTCCAGTGACACCTTGGGAAAAGCCTTTACAAAAGCTGGGGCTGTGTAAGGTGTCCCTAAGGGTTTACACAGTCGGCACTATCAGTGTGAGTGGGCATTTTGGCCAGGCAGTTACCCAGTGCCAGGGCAAAGATGATGGCTCTGTGCCTCAGACAGCTTACACTGTGCTGTCCCTCGTACATCTGCAAACAAAAAAGAGGGTGGTGCTCTGAGTGAGGTTTTCCCAGCGGACTCCATTCCTGCGGTGGGAAGGTGGAAAGGCCAAGACATGCTGCAGTGCTAAGAAGGAGAAGGTCTTTTTTTGCTTTTAGTCACCTGAACAGTGTTAACTTCACTGCGTGGCAGGTGTTGTTGCTGAAGAACACTTTGTGTTGCTCATTTGGCACATCCCAGCTAGCTCACTTGAAGGAGTTTGCTTCCTATTCCAAAGTTTTCCAGGCGGTCAGATGCCACCTTGTACCCTGCGCAGGCCGCAGAATGCAGAATTGACTGGCAGGGTCACAGACCCAGGGTGTCCTGGGGTTCAAAGTCAACAACCAAAAAAATCAACAAAGGATTAGTGCGGATTTCTGCCTTGACTGAATTTCTCCCTTTGTGCCCAACATTTTGGAATAAAGGGGAACCACTTCAGGTTGATGGTTTTGCACCCCGTAGTCCTTCACCTGCTTACAAAGCTGGAATGGCAATGGAAGCAGCATAAGGAGATCCCAACAAGCTTTCGAATCCTCTCTCCCAGGGCTGTCCTGCAGGAGCAGCTGCTGGGACACGCGAGGCAGAAGGACCACTGCGGCGACACTACGGGCAGGTGTCAGGAAGTTTGCACTGAGCCCCTCAAACCACGTCACAGAACACTGAGCAGCTACAGAAGGTGATGACTGACAGTACACAACAGGGCCTGGCCCAGATTTGGATCCTGGGGTTAAAAGCTTCTCTAACTTCCTACCGGCCTTTAGAGTTACTCAGACCCTCCCCTGTCCCACAGAATTTTTCACGTCACAAAAATGGGTAAGGCTACAGGAATTTGCAAC